GAAAATTCTGTCAGTATTTACTCACCCTCATGTTGTTCCAAACCTCTATGTGTTTATTTGTTCTGCTGAACACAAAGGAAGATATTTGGAAGAATGTTTTAATCAAACAGATATCATTAATACATTCTATGGTAGTCAATGGGGATTGAGATCTGTTTGATTAAAACGTTCTTCCAAATATCTTCCTTTGTGTTCAGCAGAACAAATAAACACATAGAGGTTTGGAACAACATGAGGGTGAGTAAACGATGATAGAATTTTCATTTTTGGGTGAACTAACCCTTTAAGATACTTTTACAAATGTTAGCCAAGTGTGACCCTGCTAAACCCAGCTAAAAGCATTACTTGGTGATTTACTGTTTTCAACATAAAAACACCCTACATAAATGTAAACATTTTGTGCAAATTACATTGATATCTGTAATACTGACTAAGACCATGTCAAATTTAAATCAAAGTGAAATTAATTATTGAAATCCAACTTTGAGGCTCATTATCTCAGTAGATTTTTAGACTTTTGCCTGGATTTTCAAATAATAAATAACATATAAATGCAATTATATGACATAACATTGCATGTAATTATCCAAAAGTTGAACAGTTTCTTAGTCTTTAGTATATATTTATTACAGGGTTTCTGCAAGGTTTAGTCAGTCAAATTTAAGACTTTTTAAGACCTTTTTATGACCATTATGATTTAAATTTATGACCTACACGAATTACGAAAAATAACTTAAAATAAAGAAAAAGTCTTTTTTTTTTATTGACTTTCATTTAAATTAATAAGTTTCATTATTTAAAGGTTCCATTTTCTTAAGAGTAACAAACTGAAGGCTCCCTTTTCCTAAGTATCAATAACACAGGAACAACACTTAACAATTATCACAATAATATACCAGTCGATATCGATAATTATCACGATAAATGTCAAATCTTTATTTCTTTCAAGTTTAAAGGCAGATTTTTGCTCCTAAGTGAAAGTTGTAGAAACCAGAGCGTTAATTGTGGTTTTAAACTACTCTTTATTGTCAGAAGATAGCATGATAATCACTAACCAAACAGGTGAACATTTCACAAATATGAGGTAGAACATTCAAACATTTGTCATTTATCCTTAACAAAATTAATATCTTTATTGGAAAATGAATTTCTTGGTTTCTGCATGTGCTAATGGGGGATATTGTTTCAAGTCTTGAAACAGGTTTGTGTTGCCTGACTTTGACGGCACATATCTTCATGAAATGTATGAAAAACAGTAGCCTAAATACTGTATTTATATCCATTAGTCCTTTAATACATATACCGGTATCCCACATTTCATGGTGCAGTTAATATACTAGGCTAACGTTGCAGTAAATCCATGGTAAATGATGGTAATTTGTAGACGGAAAAGCTTTCTGACTGTATCGTTGCGCACAGTGTTTCTCCTGTTTGTCAGCACTGTTTCATCTGCCTTTAAACTGGTTTAAATCACTCAGACATGTGTGTTCTTCGCTGAACTCAAGCGCTTCTCACTGGATCTCGTGAGCGAGGCCGATCAGAGTAAACGCGTCTGCTCTAGTGAGCTTGATCGCGCTGCGCTGCCGTTTGGACTTTGAGCCGAGCGGATAAACGGTCCGTGAGGCGCGCGCGGTTCAAATGACTTTCGTTCCGCTTTTGCCGCATAAACATTATCGAACATTTATCGAACTCTTGATATCGTTTTATAAAGAAAAAATTATATCGCGATAATGAATGAATGAGCATATCAATTTAAGTGGCTAAATGTAATTTATGACCTTGTATGGAAAATCCGGACGTTTTTATGACTTTTTATTGTCCTAAAATTCGTATTATTAAATTTAAGACGTTTTATGACTTTTTATGACTCCGCGGAAACCCTGTATTAGGAGTTTTAAAATACTACAATTCTGCTCTTTAAGAAGAAGTAAAAAAAAAAAAAAAAAAAAACACAACTACAAACTATTGGATGCACAGCTATATGACCCAATTAAGGTAAAATAAGAAATAAATTAATTTAAAGACTTAAAAACTAGTTTGCATACCTTATGAGTTTGTGGTTTCCATCTACATGCCAAAGTGAGTTTGGACCTGCAACATGATAGGCCCGCCTGTACAGCCTTTGTGTCAGAGTTCTCTGAGCAGCAGCAGCAGGATCAGTGCGAAGAACACTTGCCCGTACTCTGTGTCTTTGCACTAAGACACCTCGACCAAATAAACGTGCTCTTACGGATTCTGGTCCAATCTGCCAGTTACGTCCCACAATCTCCTTTACCAGGTCATCAAGTTCTGTTTCTGTTAGTTGTGTATATCTATTTGAGCGTTGTAAGTTGAATTTCCTATAAAAATACATTTGATTAAGCATTAATTGAACACAATAAACTAGCAAACGAAAAATGAAATTAATAAAATAAATATTATGATTGTTTTAATTATGGCATGCACACTTGCCTTAAACGTCGTTTTACTGTTGACCTAGACACGTGCAGAATGCTTGCCATCTCTGCAACAGTAAAATTGCAGGATACCAAAAACTGTAGTTGGTCTTGAGAAATCACGGTGGGTGAAGCACCCGTTAAACCAAAATTAGCTCTTGGGACTTGATTGATGCCTGGCCCTATAAAACACAAAATATCAAGAAATTGTCATGAAGGAGATAGATGAACCCAAATGCAGACAATATGCAACCACACAAGGTTTATTATTAACAGAAAACAGGGAAAACAAAACCCATGAGTGGGTAAAACAGAGGTAAGGATGGTTGACAAACAAGCAAACTATACCTAGACTAATTACAAAAAAACTCTTACTTGAAAAGGAACTCTCAGCAAAGGTACAAACACACAGGCTGGTTACCCATTGATTGACAATGATCCAACACAGGACAGAAAACATGAGGGGATAAAATAGGGAACACTAATGACGAGGACAGGTGAAATTGACTAGACAATAATGACAAGACAAGGTTAACAAGGGGGTGGAGCTACATAACGAGACAACACAAGCACACAGCCTAAAAACAAGGCCATGTGCCCGCACCCAAAACATGGTTCTGTCATGATCCTGCCTCAAGACTACAGAAAGGAAATGACAAGAGGGCAGAATCATGGCAGAAATACATTTCAGAGTAATCAGAGATAATAGTCAAATGTCATGTTCTAAACGTAGGGAAGTCACATACTGACAAGAGATATGAATAGACTGAATGCACTGTGTCCCTTTAAATAAAAATATCTGCTTAAATGTTTTCATCATTTTATATATTTAAATATTTAATATTTATATATAAACTATATGAATGTAAGCCAGAGGAGAACTGGCCCCAACTGAGCCTGGTTTTTTCTCCATCCAATCTGATGGAGTTTTGGTTCCTTGCCACTGTTGCCTTGCTTTTGGCTTGCTTAGTTGGGTTCTCTTACGAGAGGTTCTGTCGTATTGCAAAAGCTAGCTTACGCTACGGGAAAGATTCATCTTTCTGAGAAATTGAAGCCAAAAAATTATCCTATAATTTTGTATCTATTGTCAACGCAGTTCAGCTGCAGCAGAGCATGAGCGGGCTAGCTAGCAGCTCATTGGCTCGCTCACAGGGAACTGCTCAAGCCTATGAGGAGACGCGATTGAACTCTCGTCCAATGAGAGTCGTGATGCTCTCATTGCGTCATAGCCCGCCTGAGCGGGCGAGGTCAGAGAGTATAAATACTGGCGTCTTAGGCTGTAACTCTGGTTTTCATAGAATGAAGCGAGAACGCTAGTAGCACAAGCACGGCCGGGAACGCAATACTCGTTCCCTCATCTAGAGAGAACCGAGGTTACGTTAGGTAACCGATTCGTTTTTTAATATTTAATATTCACAATATTATTGATGTTTTTGTACTACTTTCATGTTTCACTTTCATGTTATCACTGTGAAGCTGCTTTGATACAATCTGTATTGTGAAAAGCGCTATATAAATAAATGTGACTTGACTTGACTTGACATTTTCATCACGTAACATTATCACTAGGTTACCTTCTTGAACATCACTGGTCAAACTATGGACCACTTGGCTAAGTTCTGCAAGCAGTTGTTGCAATGCATCTGTAGCGGGTGGACTTAACAGATGACCTTGGGCCCATGTCAGACTTCTTTTCAGGGCATCAATTCTAAAGAAAACAATCAGAAATAGTGATTACAATATAACACAGAAGCATGCACTTATATAAAAAATACAAATATCTGAAAACATAATGTGAAAATGGTGCAAAACACTGCCACTTCAACTGAAATCATTAGCACAATAAAAAAAAATTAATTAAAACTTGCACTTACAGCAGTGAGCCTTGCTCATTTATTTTATTAGCAATTTCATTCAAGTTTTTTTTCTGGAACAATATGACAATGCTGCAAAAACATAGGCTACCAATGTTTTAGCATTGCAGCATCAACATATCTAATAATAATAATAAAATTACATATGTCTAATTTGTATATAGGCCTACCAAATACGCTGCAATTGACACATACATTTAAATATGTAGTCTTAATAACATTTAAAAAGTCACATAAATCACTAAATAAGTGGATATTTAATAGTCAAGACATTATTGAAGATTTATATTTCATGTATTTCTACAGTGCAAAGTCATCGTTTTGACACATTTAAAAACACTCACCTGGATAATTGTACATCCTTATCGAAACTGCCAGTTTGAATAATCTGTACACAGTCGTTGAACACACTCTTACAGTGTAGAAGAAAATTCATACGTGCCATTGCACTAACTGCAGCGTACGAGTGTAGAACAAATTTATTGGAATAGAAATCTACCAACTAAAATTACGTATGCAAATTTGAGTGCCGTCACGTGCCTTACAATTTGACCAATCGTTAATGTGACCTAGAGATTTTTTTTTTTTTTTTTTTTTTTTTTTTTTTTTTATTAAGGCGCCACTTTTAAGGCTGCCCGCCACTTTTAAGGCTGCAGTGGCGCCATTAAGTTAAACAAAATGTCTGATCGTCATGTTCATTCCCGTTTATCGGATTTACGAGCAAGGTTCAATGCTCAAGTGGACCAACTGATTAATCAAATGGAGGAGCCATCCGGGGAAAATCTCGTGGATCAGTTGAGTAACGTTACTGGTTTTACTGTTGTTATTATTACAAGGATGTAATAGTGCAATATATATATATATATATATATATATATATATATATATATATATATATATATATATATATTACACAGTATTGTCCTGTATTTTTTACAGTCTATGTATATGACTAGCCTTTATTTTTTTTCATAGAAAATTTATCTCATTAAGCGATCTCGTCACATGTGAAATAACACTCTATAGCCTGCGTCAATAAGCTAACCGAGTTGCCCTGGACTAACGTTAACCTGGTAAATAATTGTAATTGCACTGTTATGCAATTAAGTCTGTTATTTTTCTAATTTTTTTGTCAACTTACTGTTAATAAAATATTGGTGGGCTATGTATTATTATTATTTATTTTTTTACAATGGCCAGCCTAAATCCAGAAGTAGGTTATACGGTATGCCATTTGATAAATTGAAGAATTTTCTTTATAAACGACACAAGATGCGCTTAAAATCATGTTTTGCAAATTTTACACTTCATGGGGATAATTTTTTATTCGGGACAATACGGTGTAAATTAGGCCTACAGTAGTGTTTGAGTGTGGTGATGAAAAATGTAAGCAAATTATTACGTTAAAATTATTTAATACTAACATATGAGCACATTGTTAGTATATTATTAGAACATCTCTTATATTTTGTAGATTCCAAATGTTTAGAAGCAACAGAAGTAGTGCCGGGCCTACCAGACGAAGGAGAAGACAAGTCACGCAAACACGAAACGTGACTTTCAGAATTATTATGTTTAAAAAACATATTGAGCGATATTCATCGCACACTGGTAAATTACAGTTTACTACAGTTTACAATGAATACAGTATTAAATCAATTTGAATCACCAGATGAATATTGTATATTGTTAAATGAAAATGCATGTTTTTTATATTTTCCCAGATGGAACTCCACAATGCAAAGTGATTGTCCCTTTGCACCTTAATGAATTTGAATTTAAGGAGGTGCTGAGGGAAAAATTCCCAGACCTCCCAGAAAGGTTTGAATTTTGCAAGGTAGCCGGAGACCGAAAGGTTATACCAATTCAGCTGTCAGTGCCAGCAGAAATTAAAGCATGTAATGTGCTGGGCCGGTCAGCTCTATATATTAGACCACTGGTAGGCAATATTTTCACCCTTGCTTTACAAACAGATATGTAAATTTTCCTGCTCATATTTCTGTAAGTGCTGAAATATATGTTATAGTCATAAACCACCACATCTTTAGCTTGTATGCTGAAATAATGTTTAAAATAATTTTTTGTTGTGTTTGTTAGGAGATTCCAAGCCAAACCACACCAAACCAGGCAACTGAGTCATCTCCACCTATTTCCCCAAACACAGCTGCATCTCCAGGGCAAAACCATACATCTGTGTCAACCCCCTCAACCTCCACAACAGTAAACATGTCTTCAAACACTCGAAGCCCCTCTGAAGTTGATGTTAGTGTAGAATATGACATTATGATTTTATTTCATTATCTTTTAGATCAGAAATAACAAATGTGTACATTTTCCGTGTTTATATTTCTGTAATCACTGAAAATATATGTTGCCATAAACAGTGCTGGGCTAGTTACTCAAAAATTAATTATTTTACTCATTACTAGTTACTCCTTTCAAAAGTAATATTGTTAGTCATTATTTATAGAGTAATAATTTATTAATTTACTTATTACTCAACAGTAATTAGTTACACAACTATTTACATTAATTTTCCGTTACACCCCAAAAATTGGTAATTACATCATTTTTGAAGCCTGTGAATCTATGTAAGTTACAGATAAATGAGGAGTATTTTCTTAAACTTCTGTTATTTAATAACATATTAACAGCAACATAGTAAAATCTGCAACAGGGCTCAAGCAGGTAGAACCAACCAAACATGTTGGAAGAGCAAAAAAGAAACCAACAAATGCCAGCAAATTTAATCTGATGATGAAATAAATGTATAGAGTATGCTATGTATTTATCTGGCAACCAAAAATAGTGGAATGTGGCCTTTGTATTTTTCACTTAAATATGACCTTAAAATATAAAAGTAGACAAATAAATCAGTAGGCACCCACAACAATTAAGGCAAACTCTATTACAATAGGTGATATACTTACTACTTGAATCCATGTTTAATTTTAAACCGTTTTTGTGTGTATGCGTGTGTGTGTGTGTGTGTGCGCCTATTGCGATGAAGATGATTCAGGATATTTAAGGTTGAGTTGATGACAGTAGACAAAGTCTTAGTACCACTTCACAATTTACACGTGACATTGATGTTTTTGTCTTACTTTCTTTCTCCCTACAAAATTAGCATAATGGCTATATTTCCAGCCACTATATGATGTGGACTAGCTTCTATATGACGAAGCTAGCTTGACAATCGATAACAATAGAAAGTAAGCAGACATTTTTTGGGATGGTAACTAATATTATTACTAATATAATTATATTATGTTATTAATACTATTACTTGTATTTGTAATGAGTTATTGGGTTCCATATTACATCTCTCGGGTCCGCTTTATAATGTGTTATTTCGCCAACACTTCGTGGCCTATGCACACTAGCTTGCTTGATTTACGTTAGTTACGCGCATTTACACACTAAGTCCAATGGTTAAGTCAGGTGTTTCCCGCACAAGGCACTTTGTGTTGTACGTTGCCATAACGTTCATGTGCGCACAAAACTACTACGATGGTACCTTAAAGGAGAACTCCGGCGCAAAATGAACCTGTTGTCAAATAACACATCGGTACCTAGTCAACCGTTCTCTGAGATTTGATTTCATGATAATCGAATATAAAGAGTTTTATCTCTAAAAACTGTTTAGTGTATAACGCTAGTATATAGGGCATAGAGTAATGAAAAATAAAAATCGCTACTTAATACCACTAACAAGGCTCAAAATAGCCCCACACTAACACAATAACATAATGAGTGTCCATACATGCAAAACACAAGCATTGAGAACATTGTAAGAGTACAGACCGTTTAATAAGAAGATACTTTATAAAGACAGCTCACTTTGTGTATACAGGCCTGAGCCATCTTTGGAAAACAGACTCGATAAATCGATCCCCGAACGCTGTTCATACAGTTCAGAAGTTTGCTGAACTTCATACAGTTCAGCTCACTTGGCACATCGTTCGTGGTTCGACTTTTTCCAAAGATGGCTCCAACCTGTATCCGCGAAGTGGACTCTTTACATTCGATCATCATGAAATCAAATCTCAGAGAACGGTTGACTAGATACCAATGTGTTATTAGACCAAAGGTTCATTTTGCGCTGGAGTTGTTCTTTAATATTTCGCAGACACACTGTGAAACATTGCAAAAATAGCCTGAAAGCGCTGAAATGTGATGCTTGGAAAACTCAAGTGTCAATATATTTGGCTCACCAAAGAAGATTACAAAGAATTTTTCTTTTTTTGGCCCTTATTTAAATGTAAAATGATGCGTTCCGTATCAAATCAATCCGGGATGTGATTTGTCCATAGACAGTGGATTTGTCCCATAACTTACATGACCCAGGTCCCAGACATTCATTTGGTGGTTAGGCTAATGCATGTTTGCATCTTTTTTTTTCCAGAGCGACAGAGTCTTGAAAACATGCAATGTAAACAGGTGTAATGCACTTTTTTATTATTACACCAGCATATACTGAAGAGCTTTGTAGAAATAAATAAATTAATCAAATGTAAAATAATATTTGTTCTGTTGCAAGTTCATATACTTGATCTCATGTTTTCTCATGTTTTATTGTTGAGCTGTCAAGTTGTCATGTTTACATAATCAGTTCCAGGACCTTGACACATTTTATTTTTTATTTGATTATCATTATTTTTTTGATAGGATTAGGATTTACCAAATATTCTTCCATTTTATGCAAAACATAAATACGACAAATGGAATATCAGATCACTGTCATATGGCCAAAAATAAATGCAAAAAAAAAAAACTTTTTTGCCTAGTTGTTTGACAGATGAAAACTGTAACAATGTATCTTACATACACGATGTAACCAAGGGGGTAATCCATCGACCGGAAGTTGAAGCCGGCCGGGTGCCGCCATCTTGTAGCAGAACTTCACATGCGTTAGCATTGCCATTGACTCCCATTCATTTTGGCGTCACTTTGACAGCGAATAACATTACATCTGAGGCGTTTAAAGACTCCATTTGTCCATTATTTATTTCTAAAGAAACACGACAATGTATAATGGGCTCCATTACTTTCTATGTTACATTATGGCCCCGTAGAAACCGTTTTTGTAAAAATAGGCTAAAGATTGCGTCATAACCACTCGACACTCTGTCGCATTACCGTACAGACCCTTATATACTGTCTGTGGTACAGACAGGAGGCGTACTGGCGTTACATTTTAAAATAAATACTATACAGAATAATGAATCAGAATACTTACTCCTGCTCACTCACGCCAAAGAACTCTTTGCTCAAGCTCGCCGTCTCTGCAAGATTAACGTTGGCAGTTTGCACGCACAGCTACTAGAAGATGTACATCTGTCAGACAGGTTGCTCACGTCATCAAGCTTAGTTTGAGACGTTTGAGTCTGCGCGTCAGGGACGGAAGTGCTAAAAAATCGCTAAAAATGGGCTTCACTTGTCTCAATTGAGATCCAATGAGATGGCTCTGTCCATTTCTTATACTGTCTATGGATGTAACCTTGCTCTCACTTGAAATGTGTCCCCACATTAAGTCCTTGAATTTGAGGGTTTTGGACCTGGAAAGTCCTTGAAAGGTCCTTGAATTTGATGTTAACCAAGGTGTGGGAACCCTGTATTACTTACATTACTAGTTACCAGGAAAAGTAATATTATTACTATAACTAGTTACTAACTACCAGAGTTAGGGTTACTAACTAGCCCTTACCCTTACTAGTAACTAGTAACTGCCCAGCACTGGCCATAAACATTCACAGGTTTAGCTTGTATGCTGAAATAATGTTTAAAATAATTTTTTGTTGTGTTTGTTAGGAGATTCCAAGCCAAACCACACCAAACCAGGCAACTGAGTCATCTCCACCTATTTCCCCAAACACAGCTGCATCTCCAGGGCAAAACCATACATCTGTGTCAACCCCCTCAACCTCCACAACAGTAAACATGTCTTCAAACACTCGAAGCCCCTCTGAAGTTGATGTTAGTGTAGAATATGACATTATGATTTTATTTCATTATCTTTTAGATCAAGAGATAACAACTACTTTTTGTTTTGCAGCATTATCAACAAAGACATGGCAGTTTTTTCGAGGAATCAAGGTTGCTCAATTGCTTTACAAATTATTAATAATCATAGTCTGTAAGAGAAAACTACTTAATCAGTGTGCTTTTGCAATTTGTTTTGGTGAGGGAAATCATCTATATTGAATATACACTGGAATCCTGGTCCTGGAGGGCCCATGTCCTGCAACATATAGCTCCAACCATCTCCAAGAACACACCTGCCTGCCTGGTAGTTTATAATCCTGTACCTTGATTAGCTGGATCATATGTTTTTACAGCTGGAGATAAAATCTGCAGGACAGTGGCCATCAAGTACCAGGATCGCCCACCCCTGATGTATTGTTTTTGTGCTTGCTTTTTATCAAGTGTATAAACAGTTCTTCATGAACAGCAAGTGTCATCATTAATAACATTTAAAAAAAAATATATCATAAAAAAAATAAAATAAATAAACTTTGATTAATGGACAATTATCTCTTGTGATATAAACCTAATTTTAATTTACTGAATGAACAATTCAACATTTAATGATACAATGTATATGTTTAAACTGGTTTATTGTTTTGAGACAATAACACTGATTTTGCTGTGAATGGATTACAGGGAGACTGACAGTGATCCTGAGGCTTTAGATAATGACATGCTGGCTTCACCTCCAAGATGCTACAGTCCTGATGTAAGTGCAACTCATACCTTGAAGAATGTCTTAAATGAATGTTAAAGGAGCTGTATGTAAGATTGTGGACAAAACTGGTACTGCAATCAGTTTCAAATTTCTGTAGAGCGGTGTATCCCCTCCCCCCTGACTCGAGGTTGCCAGATATGCTGCAGGATCAAACTTTTTTACCCCACACGTTTGTAGCTGCAGCTGTGGTAACTAGAGCAGATCTGGCAACCCGAATGCTGCAACACAACTGACTTCGTGATTGGTAGATCGGTGGAGGTCAGAGCATCAGACCAAAACACAACATGACAGTTGAGGGCTGCAACAACACTTTTTAAATGATAATATCCTGGCCGGACTGCTGTTGTCAGTGATATAAGTATTTGAAATGAACATGATTTCTTAATGTCTAGTGACATATCAGGGCCATTTTATGATTATTTGAAATAAATTTCTTACATACAGCTCCTTTAAGAGTAACTAAACCCTAAACCAACTTTTTTTAGTTAATGATCTGTAAGAATGGATCTTTATTAATACCAGTCATTGATTCGAGTAACATTTTTGACATTTGTGTGATTTATTTCTGCAATATATGGTGTAAAAACGTCTTAGTGCTGCCCTCTTCAGGTTGAACGGTGGCTACTGCAGTTGAATTTTCCTTTTGGATGTTCCGCACTTCGTGACGTACGCAGGTTTCAGCTCACCACACTCTTGGCACGAGCAGCTGTATAAAAACCATCTTGTTTCGTCAAAACCACTGTAGGGAGTCAGGAGTTGGAATTGCGAGTATTGAAAACGATCAGGATAGAGTGTTTTAGCATCTATTTTGTCCCCTCTGTCTCCGCTGGGGTCTGCCCACTTTTTCAGCATTTTTCAATTATTACCAGTGGGTGGAGTCAGGCTCTGACCAGGGGTTTAGTTACCCTTTAAATAATATTTTTTTATCCTTTGTTTTTACAGTTGCAAAGAGACCTTGTGGATGTTTTGAATGAATTCAGGGGGGACAATATAGACCTGACCACACATGTCACTGTCGTGGCCCGCCGGAGAAGAGTTTTACATAGTGCATGTGTTGCTCTTCAGAAATCCTACTTTGAATGGCATAAAACACCAAATATTGAATTTGTTGGTGAAATGGCCGAAGATTATGGTGGACCACGTCGTGAGTTTTTCAGGTGATTGCTGATTTTAAGTTTTTACACCCCAAAAAAATAGGATGTATAGTGTTTTCATGAAATGTGACATCTTTGTCCTTTTTTTTTTTAGAATTCTCATGAGCGAAGTACAATCCTCCCTTGGCATTTTTGAGGGGAAACCTGGAAACGTCCTCTTTTCATACAATCAGGACGCACTGCAGCAGAATAAATTCTACACAGCAGGAAAGCTGACTGCATGGTCCATTCTTCACAATGGACCTGGGATTAAATGCCTTAATCATCACCTTTTCGAAATGATGTGTGGTCGGAGTCAGACCATAGACCTAAGCACATTTGAACTAGAAACTTTACATGACACAGATATACAACATCGACTGGAAAAGGTATTAATAAATAACTGTCATAGACACAGAGTGAATGCATAATGAGTAGATTATTTTGTCATAATTATGCATTTTAACAATGTGTTTATCAATTTGAACAAAATTTAGATTTTACCATGCAAGACCACAGCGGAGATGTTGGAGGTCAAAATGGAACTGGGGGACTGGATTGCTGAATGTGGGATCCCCAACATATATTCTGCATCACTTGCTGATTTCCCTGCTATCTACCAACAAATAATCACCCACTACATGTACCACAGGTTATGCATTTTAATTATTTTAATTATTTATACGGTTCGCTAATTATTAAAAAATACTAGTTTTGAGAAAAGCGCATTTTGACAACTTCATGTCACTGCCAATGGTAAGAGTTCTTCAAATGTCATTAATTATGTCATATTAGCCACAATTTTTTTTATAAGAACACACATTTTCTGGTATTATCACAAAAAAAGATGTTTGAAATGCAATTAAATACCAACACCTTAAAAGATAATTGGGTAACACTTTATTTTACGGTGTCCGTGATACAGAGTAATTACTTAATTAATTACTTAGTAGTAGACGCTGTAATAACATGTAACACAATGTAACGAAATGTAATTAACATGTAACAAAGTTATGGAACAGCCTGTACTTACAGATTGTAATTAATAGGCAGATACTGTTACACATGTGTAACAGGCCGAGTCGGTTGCATACGTATTACCGACTTGGTACTGTACAATGTAATTATATAAAAAAGTATATTGTACTACTCAATGTAACAACAAGTATTTGAATATGTTACTAAGGTGTGAAAAAAGCCTGCAGTTCCACATGTTCATTTTGTACCTTCTAAAATAGTGTATTAATTGTACTTCATGTGTATAAGGTATGTAGATACACATGTATTACACTTAAGTACAATCTTGATACACTTTATTTTACGTAGCTTATCCCTGTGTAATATTATGTAATTGCAATGTAATTAGGAAGCTACCGCATGCATTTATGCTGTGAACGAGGGAGTTAAGCCTAATTTATACTAAACTACATATAGATTAGGTTTGTAGATACACATGAAGTACACTTAAGTACAATCTTGATACACTTTATTTTATGTAGCTTATACCTGTGTAATATTATGTAAAGTGAATGTAATTAAGAAGATAATGTATGTATTTAAGCTGTGAACTAGTGGGTTAATTCAGATGGATAAGGTATGTAGATACTCATGAAGTGCACTTAAGTACTTGATACACTTTATTTTAGAAGGTACAGAATGACCATGTGTAACTGCAGGCGTTTTACCTTAGTAACATATTTAAGTACATGTTACATTGTACCAAGTCGGTAACACGTATGTAACTGACTCGGCCTGTTACACATGTGTAACAGTAGCTGCCTATTACATGAGTGTAATTACAATCTGTAAGTAAAGGCTGTTCCATAACTTAGTTACATGTTAATTACATTTTGTTACATGTTATTACAATGTTTACTACTAAGCAATTAATTAAGTAATTACTCTGTATCACGGCACCGTAAAATAAAGTGTTACAGATAATGGTTTTCATTTTAGGGTTTCCAGCATGATACAGCAGTTCATCGCCGGAATGAATGCTTGTGGCAACATGTGGCAAGTTGTGCAGAAAAACTGGGAAACGTTTGCACCACTCTTCACTCACACATCTAAAAAGCTGTCACGGAATGATGTGCGAGGACTCTTTGACATTAAATGGAGTTTGCAAGGCAGCAACAAAAGAGACCAAGAGGAGGACACCATCTTTCTTTGGGAGTGGTGGTTGATGTCAATTGAAAGTAAGTCATTTGTGTAAAATGTATTATGCAAATGTTGCAATAAACTATTAAATTATGAAGGAAAATGGGTAGCTTAACTTGAGAGCATGTAGATGTGAATTTGAAAACTTTTACAGTAGATATTCGTACTTGTACGCTACAATTTACACAACTTAGCTCCAATGTGAAATGTTAAGTGTTGAGATTCGCACTTGCAGAAAAATGTCACAAACCTAGGCTCAGAGGAGTCGTTTTATTGGTTAGCACCTAGCCAATGAAATGGGACTTTTTTTGTATCACAACACCCCACCTCAGGTACATTCTAAAATGTTAATGTTGCTTAATGCATTAAGAAAGTGATTTAAAAGAAGTAAATGATATTATAAAACTCAATAAACACCAAACTAAAACAGCACACTAAAACCCACAAACATAGTAATTATAAACTTCAGTGTTTATTTTTGTGCAACGTGGACATCAGTGTTTAATTTGTGTGCCTTCACCAACAATTTTTAATTTATAGCCATATGTAGCCTGCTGCCTATTCCTTCAGTTGCGAGCCTGTGCGCTTTAACTGGCGTTTCAGGATTATCCCCGGCAGGTGCGCACGGACTGGGTTCGGTAATGAAAGGCTTTCAATGACCAAAAAAAAATTCAGACTGACAAAAAAATAAATAATACATTCTTCTTCTTTTAAATAATAATAATAATAATACAAATAAAAATAACAACATTTTTCTTCTAAATAATAACAAGCGTCATTAATACAAATAATAATAATAAGAATATTACAAATTGTCATACAATTATTAATGTGAATGAATGGTACTCCACATCACATCATCATCATCACTATTGTACATCCCAATACATGTGACATGATTCGAAATTGAACGCACACCTGGATTTCAAAGGTACGCACGTACAGCTTCATAAATCAGGCGGTGAGAGGAGTGTAAGCATAATCTTATGCCAACATATACGCCCGTTTCTACGCAAGAATGATAAATGAGGGCCAATGTGAGTAAATTCTTTGTCATCTTTGCAGGACCGCAATATGAAGTGCGCAAAGTAATATATTTTAGCAACTGTGTGAAAGTGAAATACGGCTTTTCTGTACATATGCTGTTTTAATTTGGTGTTTACTGATCTTTAGAATACCATTTACATCTTGTGTAATATAACTGATGCACTAAGCCATGTTAGCGTTTTAGAACTTCCCAGAGGCATGGGTGTCGTGACACCATCCCGCACAAAAGTCCCATTTCATTGGCCA